CTGCCTGGCTCTCGGGCGATGATCCAGCGATTGCGCGTGCTGCGTGCATTTTCCACTCGCGAATGTTCGTTGCGTCAGGGATGTCCAACACATCAATTTTCTGGTTGTTACCAACCTGTCTCCACTGATCCAACGGCGTGCTTTCGTCAATTGCTACCGAGTCGTGCGGTCCGCCGGGGCCCTGAGGCCCCCTGCGTCCACCCCCACCATCAGAGGGGTCTGAACCCCCTGGGCTTCCCGGAGGCGACCCACGTGGTCTTTTACCACGATCATCTTCGTGCGAAGATACGATCTCAGTGGTAGGAGCGTCGCTCTTGTCGTCTCCTTCTCCGCCCTGTCCTGCTTCGCCCGACGACTTAGTCGCCGTCAATCCCGTAGGGCCATCTCCATGGGATGGGCGGAAATTGGCGAGAGTATTATCTTCGTTGGGTCCAGTTAGCTTAATCCCTACAGAAAGTCCATTCTCGGCGGTGCTCGGCTTCGCGGGACCTTCTAGGACAGGGCCTGGAATAGTAAAGTGTTGACGCAATAGCGGCCTCACGGGAGTTTCTTGCGAAAGCCGCGGAAATCCGAATGAACTCGATGTGAGTCCGGCGTCTCGTTTATTTTCAGTATATGGAGTCGGGTCGGTGATGATATCCATAATTAAGCCTCATCTTTCCTTTCTCTGCGAAGGCTGCGTTCGAAACAATCTCTTCTTCTCGCATGCTGGCAGCTGACCTTTCACTCTTCCACGGGTCGCATCTAGAGCATCTTCCAGTGGTCGCATCGATATGTTCTTCACGCGCCGACCTGCCGCATCCGACGCAATTGTCCGTCTTTAGACGAAAACAAACGGCGCAGAATTGATCCACGGAGAGTGTGTTCCCCTTCTCCTCGGGAGGAGGATATGTTGCACCTCCTGCCAGCAGGGTCGATGCTCCCGCATTTGTCAAGGTCGTCTGATCAAATCGCGTTGGGACGGGTACGATGCCAGACGACTGAGCCGTCGACATCTGGTGTATGTTCGTTCCAGTCGGCTTAGCCGGCGGGCATTTAGCATTGCTCGAAGTCACGCGCTGGAGTGAATATCTAGCTTCCTCCTGTGATTTAAGCTCTTCCAGATGGAGATTGTTCTGGTTGGTTATCTTCGCAGCTGCGGCTTGGGCGTTGGCTGCTTCCAGCCTGGCGTTTTCGAGCTCTTCTTGTAAGCAATGTTTTCTCGTTCCGCCATGACTGTCGCGATTTGTTCCCCTTCTATCCTGGCCACCGCGACGGCAGCGGCAACCGCGTTGGCGCCAGCAGATTCCTTATTTGCCATCATGACGGCCTGTCTCTCCGAAGTCAAGAATTCTCTGCATTTATTTTCGGCTTCCCGCTCCACTTGCTATTTAACGGCCTCGGTCTGATTCTACAAATGTTCTATCGGCGCCTGTTCCCGCTCTCTGGCAGCCATGGCTAGGGCGATCCGCTCAGCCTCGAAAGTTTTTCTAGCTTCGACCACAGCTTCAGTTAATTCTTCTCTGTCCAATCGAGCCCTTTCGGCCAGCTGCGCTTCATTGGTCAGAAGCTCTCTCTGAGTGTCAGCCCCCGCCAGCCTGGCCTGGTCCTGAATAGACTGCATGAGGAGATACGTGCAGTTATGCTCGTTCATTGGGTAACACTCCGCGCGCAGCCATTGCATGTTACACTTGTTGCAAGCGTCCGAACAACTCTTGCACGCTGGGTTCCTACATGCGCCTTCTGGCCTGTTGGCTTTTTCCTGGGCATCTGCTCTCCGCCTGAGGCGCGCAGTCAGGGTTGGGGTTCCAACATGCCTCCATCATAGAAGCTGTACTAGTGCTCCTTGAAGTAGATCTCGCCCCTAATCTTGAGATCTTGGGTCTTCCCCTGCTCGAAGCATTTGATCTGTGGCGAATGAAAGTACTTTCTGGTGGTTTAGGCGCTTTTGAGAACTCCTCATCCTTTTCGTCTTGTGTTATTAGCAGAGCATGCGTAGCTGGTTGCCCAACCATTTCTTCATCCCCAACAACAACTGGAATCGAGGGTTGCCAATCACCTGAGGTAGTGGCATTACGGAAGAAACCTTCCTTCAGTGGTGAGACGTCTAGCTCGTAGTCCTCATTCCGTTGTTTCTTGAGGTGAGGCGCGGGGGGTCGTCCTGTGGACTCCCTCTCATGCTTCATCTGAGCCTCCGCCCTGTCCGCCTGAGGCGTCAGGATACTAATGTCTTCATCGGATCCATCTGGAGACCATCTTTCGTCTTGAGCAGGGATGTCTTCTTCCATCATCACGGACAATGCTCGGCTCAGGGAGACATCATTGTTGATGCTATCAAAATCTTCCTCCATGGAATATACGTCGTGATCTTTTTCAATTGGGTCATCACTGTCCTGACCGAATTGTCCGTTAAGTGCGATCGGGATTGGGGCGTTGACACTCGTGCCCACCCATTCGGTCGGGATATCAGGATACGCATTCATATTCCCTTGGACTTCCCCTGGCCGGCCGGCTTCACCAGCGGCAATAGCAGTAGCGTGTGGAGTATTCGGGATTGAGCTGATTGACTCCGTCGATTTGGCACTCCATGACGAAAACGCACTTCGTCTGGGTCTTGATGTGACGCCATCTCGCCCGTGCGGGTCCGGGGTTTGCTCACGATTACCTATCGGAGCTCCCGCGGGGGATACGTCTACCGACATTTCGGTTATCCCCTCGGTACTTCTTCCCCTCACTACCCGAGTGGCGATGCATAAAGGAGGGATTCGGTCCTGAACAGGACCGTCTCTGTCTGCGTCGTGTCCATCATGTTGTACAACGCGCCTATCGGCGCTTCTCGAGATATTGGACAAGATATCAGTCTTATCATAGCTCTTTCCCGCAGCGACTGAGTCGCGGGGCACAGCTGAAGGATCTTCTTTTGTATTTGATGGCCCAGCGTCGACTGAGTCGCGCGTTTCGGCTGATAACCCGTCTTTCCTCTGAGAATCGGGGTAAGATGGCAAAGGAATTAAGATCTCATGTTCACTCTGCTCAGGGAGAGAGGGGACGGGATGAGACATTGATAAGACAAGTATCCGCTAAGCAAGACTACTCGATCAGGAATGTGAAGGGAGGAGGTCGGCCGGGGACGGACGACGACGAGCCGCCCGCGCGCCCCAGCGCACTCCTTTTCTCTCCTGCAAGCCGAGGTTGGCTTGTTCGAGCAGTCATACAGCTGCGGAACGCAGCTGTCAGTTCCAGCGGACAGTGCAATGCATGCAAACTAAGTTATGTCCTAATTGATTATGAGGCGGAGAGGAGCATATTTACTCTCTTTGGGGCGGAGCTTCGAGGACACACGGGGCTCCCATGCAGTGGAGGTCCGTCCACAAGAGACCTTGCGCAAGAAACCCAACCCTGAGACCCCAGGACGTCCATTGATTTTGGGCGTGGGGGCGGCACGCTGTCCATGGCAGAACCATCCAAACCCAAGAAACCCAGGGCACCCTGGAGGCAAGCAGGGTGTTTCTTGGCATGGGCCCCACTGTACAGCGCTGTCAGTGGCGCTGCGGTGGGTGGACGAAAAGATGCAAGTTGTTCGTGGACGCATGCGGCTGCACATGGACTGCGACAAGATCTCGACGCCACCCCCCCTGCCCCCTACATGTCAATGTTGGCGTCGGTGAGGCACCCCCCGTCCCGGAGGACAAAATTATGCAAGTCAGCACTGAAATGTGGGGATGGGGGGGGTCCTCAGAGATCGATGGAATCTGATCCTAGTTGGCACGCTGCTTCTCAGACGCAGAATGCTCAGATACGTTGCGATATGTTGTCCACCGACTGTGCGCCCGCGGCGAGAGGAGAAGTTTCATTGGCCCGTTAGGCCGCGGGGCCCCAATCTATGCAATGTTCTGCTCAAGCAGTGCTTTCTCAAGCCTCGGGCGGAACCGCCCTTGTCGAATTCGAGCAGGATGGCTTCGAAATCCAGTCGATATCGTTTTTTCGAGGACAATATCAAGCGAAAACCACACTTTCGAAATCTCTGGTCGGAAATTCAAAACTTTCAATGCCAAACGATGGGGCCATGTCGAAACGACGGTTTCGCCTGAGACTTCCTCAAAACATGTCGAACGAATTCGAAACTTTCGGGTTTCGGGGATGGACAGACCTCCCTTTAGTAAAACGTGGTTTAGTGAAAACGACTTCGGGCCCAAACCTGGCGGGCGCAAGCCTGGAAAATAACGGCCACGGCGCCATCTCGAGAAGCGAAAACGGACAATTCACTAATCGACGTGACACTGTTGGGGGTTCTGTCCACCCCCGAGGGTTCGATTTCGAGATAGCGCTCCCGTAGAGGACTTCCTCCGAAACAGAATTGGGAGCCTGTCGGGCTCGACTTCGAAATAGCGCTCCCGCCCGGGACTTCCTGAAAACTGGAATTCGACACCCGTCTGCTTCGATTTCGAAATGGCGCTCCCGCCCAGGACTTTATATGACTTTATGGAAAGCAGAAGTCGGCTCTTCTTCAACTCGAAGTCGCCATGGCGCTCCCGCCTAAGACGTGTCCTGGTGAAGCACGAAATGGGTCAAAACTGTCGTAGTGCCGATGTACTTGGCGCCCTCCGACTCTTGGCAAAACCAGAAGAGACAACCTCTGGACACCGTGAGCTAATTCTTTCGTCCAGGTTATGCCTTCGATACGTTACCTAGATCTCTGATTCCCAAGCCTGCCAGAGCCGTGCGCGGGGATCCAGGCGCCCGATTTTTATCCGAATTGCCAGAAGACACCACGCACACACACACACACACTTTTGTGTCCGTCGGTGACAAGGCAGAGTCACTGCGCTAGCGATGGGGCGTGTGTGGGTGCACGAACGCGAATTAAGCCACAACACACACACACACACACGCACGCACACGCACGCACACACCACACACACACACACATTCACACACAAATAGAGCAAACAAGCGTTCACCTCCGACGCTGTGGGGACCTCCCGCAGGTAGCAAACCAGGCGCGTCGCGAGGCTCGGCTCCTCCGACACCGGGAGCCACTGCCCCATCGACTGATGGAGCTGCGGCTTCAGGCGGTAGCCTGGTGCATCTCACTTCAGGAATCTGCCACAGAAGTACACTCGAGACTGGCTGTCCACAACACCGTGGGGAAACCTGCCCCTCCGCTCGCACGGGAGCCTCCCTTAGGGTCCGACAGCCCGCGCCCACACCCGTAGCCAACCCTCGTCCGTCCTGGGGAAAGCAAAAAATACCGGTACCGCTACTCCCCGGACCTCTCCTGGGGTGCGTTCTGACTAGGATTTCGAGGCGAATCCAGCGAATCGGCCGGAGTGCTCCATGGGGGCTGGCAGAGTGCGAGCCGGGCCTGCCGTGTGCAGGCTCGTTGGCTGCGCACCCTCTCGCCTGTCCTGGATGCACCGCGCTGCACCTATCATCTTCCCGCCCTGCAGTTGTGCAGCACGGGTTGCGGACGGCCCGTGTCGAATGCACCTCCGCGGGAGCTGCCCTTCGGGAGATGCGTCGGGGCCGTTCTCCAGGAGCGTCTGCCGCGACTCCGCCTGCTGCTGCGGGTGCTGAGGCCGCCTCGGCAGGGCCCTCCCCCCCCCCCTCGGTGGAGGCATCCCAGGAGGGGGTCCGAGCAGCTGTGGTCCGAGGATCTCGCCGCATCGCCGCCGCATCGCCGTTGCGTCGGCGCTGCG